AAGAATGGGCGACTCATAAGAGTTCCTACTTTAGCAAAATTATTTTGAGAATTTCCCACGTTTCAAAAATCTTTCCAAAAATACCTGTGCCTCCAAAACAATACTTAATTGTTTATTCATATTACGTAATCGAGTCATTTCAACACCTTTACAATGACGATAAACATGTATTTGAATACTTATACCACAAAAAATAATTATTATATAATTAATTATATTTAATGCTGAAGCAAAATTTCCAGTAAAATTTGATAGATCGTCGGTCTAAAATTTCATGAAAAAATTTTTTCAAGCGTTCACAATAAATCCTTGCAAGACAAATTTACCAAAATATCTTTCACTTTTCTTCAATCACTAAAATCCCTATCTGAGGGTTGGGTAAGATTTTCCGCTTGCTATGTGTTCATAAAATTTTGTGAATGTCTGAGGGTCAACCGAAGAAAATTGAAATATTCTAACTAGAGACCGGACTTTTGTGGTTAGAGACCGGACTTTAGTGGACTTTAGACTTTACCGGACTTTAGTGGTCGTTCGATAATATCGGTTCGATAATATCGGTATTTTCTATTGATATATCGTTTCGATCCGGTCGCTAATTCTAACTCACCCCTGTTCTAAGTCCAATAACATAATTTTTAATTGTATCATTATCCAATTCTAATATTTTTGCCACTTCATAATTAGTCAAATGTTCCTTCTCTGGAGTTGGATAGTATGCAATATAAGACAAAATACTTAATATCAGCAATGGAATTATCATACCAAAGATTAATATTAATTGGTGTTTAAATTTAATATCAACTTTTCTATAATAGAAAGCTCAAAGATTTTTCTTAATTTTTCCGGGTTTACCTCACAACTGCAAAATAACGATAAACGAATAATGTCGAGACATTCGATGTAGTAACTCTTCCCATGAAGAAATTAAGACGGAGAATAATAGATTGCCATGGATTTGGCAAGTAATGTATAAGTCCGTAATCCCAAACTATACCTGTGCCATTATCGGAAATAAAAGCCTTAATTAATAAAAAAATTATGATTTAATTACATTTGAAATGAGCATGGGCAACGGATAATTGAGTGTTAATCCAGCATAGATTCCCAAGGATTAAAAGGGATTACCTAAAACCGGTACCACGCCCAAGGTACCGCCGATAATTAATTCTACGTAGAATGGTGTTCGATCAATTGTGTTACATCGTCGAGAGAAGTTGAATTTTCCAACTTTTTTCAACGGTGGAAAATTTATTCGAGCTGAGAAAACAACTGGGAACAAAATCTCCCAGCTTATCACTCTCCCTCCTGATCACTCTCCCGAAAAATTGATTAACCAGGAAAGTGATTAGCCTGATATAGTTCAATATAAGAGTCATTTTTTAAGTTGGATGACAAAAATTCCCATTGATGTCCAAAATTTGAGTGCTCAATATTCCGTATTTTGACTTGGAGACCAAAATTCCGGTTCCAAAATCTTCCCACAACCAAATATTTATTTATTTACCGGTTGAGAAACAACAAACACACAAATCCCAACAATATCAACAAAACAAGTTTGCAAAAGTATTTTGCTATAAACTTGCATTTCTTTCATTGTATAACGCAAAATTAGCCGAATTAAAAAGAAATTAGAAATAATTCCAAATGTAGCAAAACAGTAAATAATTGTTGAATATATTTCCCCTGTTAACATTTTTTCCTAAAAGTTTTAGATGAAGGTTAGTTTTTATTTGAAGAAAACAAAGCCGTGAAACAAATATTCATTTACTTGATAAGTAAAAGAGTAAACTTAGGTATATTTGTCGAAAATTTGGCTTATAAATAAAATTGTTAAATTTTGTTTATTTTATATTAGTACTTATAATTCAATTATTATTTAATAAAACACCTGTGCTTTTCTTGTTTAATATTAATTCCGTTAAAAATTAAATATTAACCCCTATAATAAATCTGACTAATTCAGTAAATTAAGTAATACGCATAAAATTTCCAATAATTTAAGTATTAAATGAAGATAAAATTTAATTTATTATTTAAATAAACACCTGCTTGATAGCTAAAAATTATATTTTTTTCTAAATATTAAAATTAATATTAGTTTGTCAGTAAATAACTGGAATTTTCTTAAGTTTAGAATTAATATGAAATATACTAAACATCTGTTTAGGTCATAGTACATAGTCTGCCAAGGACAGACTCGACTGAACGATAGAATCAGGCATGTTTATTTGGCACGAAAAAAATTAAGATCGTTTCAGAAAATTAAGGGTTATGTATGTAAATTGTTTAGTGAAAAATTAACAGTATTCGTGAAACATTATTTCTGACATTCGGAAACATTGACACGCAGAGCTGTTTCGGATTTCGATTTTCGAGGTATTTTTCTTTCGACTTTTGGTTTATATTTGGCTCTTGTCCAGTTTATGCGTCCCATGAAAGTATATGCGTCCCATCAACAAAAAATTGGATATTTCTTGGTGTTGCAAAGTAGGGGTATGGTTAAAGCATTTCTTCATGTTCGGTATCTACGTCCACTGGGTCTGGGACCGTTCCTTACCCTATACCTCGAAATTTCTGAAAGTTAAAATCGTTTTTCTGAAATTTTTAAAAATTGGCTATAACTTTCAGAAATTTCGAGGTATATGGTAAGGTTCGGTCCCAGACCCAGTGGACTAGATCCCGAACATGAAGAAATGCTTTGGAACCATACCCCTACTTTGCAACACCAAGAAAAATCCAATTTTTTGTTGATGGGACGCATATACTTTCATGGGACGCATAAACTGGACAAGAGCCTTATATTTTGCGTGAATTGAAAGGTTGATGTTTGTGACGTATGATGGAACGTTAAAAAACATTTGGAGGTTAAAACAAATTTTTAAAATATTGGGGAATGGAAGAGACATAAAAGGGTACTTAATCTTCTAGTTGAAGGAATTATGACTTATTTCACATATAAAAATCCCTTGAACAAACCTAGTTTAACTACAATAATAGAAAAGGGAATTTTTTATAAAATCATTTTTAAATAATGAAAAAAAAATTGAATTTTATCAAAACTTTAGGAATAATGGAAACATTTAATTGGAGGGATTTAAAGATAATTTAAAAACTTTTTGCTAACATTTAGAAAATTGAATTAATAATTTAATCATCAAATAAAAAAGTTACAAACTAGGGTTGTTGGCGGAAAGTTAACCGAACCGGAACGTTAACCGGTGTTTTTAGCGAATTAACCGGAACCGAAAACCGGGGGTCGAGAACCGGCGATAACCGAAAACCGAGGGTACCGGTTAATATTGGTCGCCAACAATCCTATTACAAACTTTAAATATATCTAGAATGCATAAAATTTTTCCAAAAAAAACTACCCTGAAGTTTAAAAGATCTATTTACTTTATCTTTGGGGATATGTAAAATTAAGGTAAAGCTGTTACTTAAATAATAATTTAAAATGTGAATATTTTGAATGAAATTCCAATCGAACTTTATGAGTTCAATCACCTTATGAGTCCAAAGAATAAACCGACACTGAGTACTGCCGAGTACTGTCGATTTTTGGCCCAAAAAGTCTGAAAGTCCCGGTTCGATAAAAATGAGACCCGAAAAGTGAAAAAACGGCAACCCTGATTGTGAGAATAGACTGGGAACTAAACTTAGATAAAGGCATGGGAGTATTTACATAATCTGGGGAGAACAGTGACATATCATTAAAAGGTAAATAAAATTTTAGAAAAAATAAATAATAAAATTATAGAATCGGCTCCCGGACAATGCGTCTGTGGAAAATGCGTCAGTGGACTCGCAAATCTCCAACTTAATCCAACCAAATAACTTAATATCTCTATTAACCCTCCCAAACCCGAGATATCGGCCTTAATCCCAACAAATCCCTCTATATCTCTTTTAAACCCCAAAACCCTTTGTAACTACTCCTAATCTGTTATATCCCATCTTTAGTCCTTTTATATCATTTTTTATCTCTTTACATCATAACTTTTAATCACTTTTTATCAATGCTGACCGATTGTCCACTGACGCATCTTCCACTGACGCATTGTCCGGACACGATAGAATTAGTAACAAAAAATTTTCAAGTTTCAAAAGTTGTCAAGAATTCTGTAGTTTTTTAGTTAAAATCCAAAAATCGAACCCATTTTTTCTCTCAATATCTCCTTCACATCCTTGTTAATCGCCTCATAACGAACGCAAAATATCATCAATGCTAGGGCGTTGATTTGGATCCACATTTATACAGCGCTTAAAATAATTTTTAAGAGATTTTAGAATTTTTACAAGAAATTTTTAATTCCATATTATGTTAAATTTGTTTAAATTTTCTGTATAATAATTCAGTTAAAACGAGAAATTGATTATTTAAAGATTAAAAACTTTAGAGTTTTTCTCTCATCAACCCCATAATGGTTTTTATTTACCTCAAACAAATTTTAAATTCCCGACAAATTAAAATTATGAGTTAACCAATCCTTTTCCTTTTTTACCTTTATAATCTCATCTAAATGTGTATTATACTCAGCACTTGCACGATAATTGTTCAGCGTTTTGTCAATTTTTCTGTATCCTTTAGGTAATTCTCCATGAAGAAGCTCATAGCCCATCAGGCCAAATGCCCAAATATCAACCTTTTGTGATAACTAAAAATATAGATTCTATATTTTATTAATTCAATTAAATGGCTACGCTAATTTGGGGATCAGGCTTTTGGGGACCCAACATACGGGGGTCAAAAAATTGGAGATTTAACACTTTAAACCAGACCTGGTCACGGATATCTTTGTATCCGTATCCGCATATTTACGGCGGATACAGGCGGATATCCGCAGGCATTTTGATATTATCTGTATCCATATCCGTATCCATGGGCAGGTCTGCTTTAAACCCGACATTTGGGGGTCAAAATGTTATTCAAAAAAAATTTTCAATTAAGGGTTGTTAATTAAGGAATCGGATGACTAAATGTCGGGTCTCCAAAGGTCTTATCACCAAAGGTCGTCCCCAACTGTCGTGTCCACAAAATCTGATCCCCAAAAGCGCCACGAATTAAATACATTATCTTCATTTCTGTTAGATTTTAAACATTCAGATTTCCAACAATTGCTGCGAATTTCGGGTGCCATATAATCTTCTGTTGCCAAACTGAGGTTTGCTTCATTAATATTCGATAAAAATACAGAGGTGTTAAAATCAATTAATTTACACTTCAACGGATTAACTTGCACTTCACTTTGATTATGATTAAGTGCCATAATAAAATTATCTGCTTTAATATCCAAATGAATTCCACCTTCATTATTAAAACAAAAATTTAATTTTTAACAAAAAATTAAAAAAATATCACCAGCATTATGGAATTGTCGGATAGCTAAGGCAGCGGCACGAAGTATATCTCTTACAAAACCATGGATATTATGTTGATGACTGTCTTTATTTGCATCAAAATAATCATCCAAAGTTTGTCCTCCAAGTTCCATAACAACATACATGTCTTTATTAACTTGGTCTTCCTCGCTTAAAATAATTTTTGACTTAAACCCTGCTATATCGTGAGAGACATTTCGTCAATTAGAGATTTTTGTCCAAAAAGGTCAAAAAACCAAGACCAAAAAATAAAACCAAGACAAACACCCCAAGACCGAGACCGAAAAATACCAAGAAAAGTCTTGGTTCCAAGACTTACATTAGTTTATAACGCAGCTAGCGAAGGGGAAATTTGAAGGTTGTAGGGAAAAGGTCCATTTGTAAGTACTGTACTTCCACAAATCCGAGCTCTGGTCTAACTACTAGTAAAAAGTTTAGAAAATATTTTTGTATGCTAGGTTACTACTACAATTTGCCATGCTATGTAAAATCGTTACATACCTTCCATAAATTTTAATGATATGACTTTCTTCTATTTCAGGCAAATCTGAAAGAATGCTAAGTTCATTCAGTACAGCCTTCCTCTTTCTAGAGTTTTCTACTCCCGAAATTTTAACGGCGACACATCGAGACTGATTGGGCCAAAAAGCGTGATAAATCTTTAAATGACCAAAAATGTTAATCAATTTTTATATTCAAATAATACAAAAATTTGATTATTATTCAAAAATCTAAAGCATTACTTTGCCAAATCCTCCACTTTCAATTAAATTAGCTTGATTAGTGTTTAACACTATATTTCCAACGGTTGTTGTAACGGAGCGATCAAACAATTTGCCATGACGACATACAAATCGTTGTGGTTGAACATTTTCTGTTAATAAATACCGAATTTTTGTAAAACAGGCCCCCTATAAACTAAACACCATCTAGAGGGCAATTGAAGAAAATAAGCCCCGGAACTTATTTTAGAGGAAATACTGTATATTTAATTTCTTAATGAGTAAAATAAAAAATATTATACTATAACCCGCCAAATTTTGTAAACAAAAAATAACCTGAAAAATATGTTAGAATCAAGATTGCTAACCAAAAAATTAATGAATATTTATTCATTTTAAATATTCTAAATAAATTTTTAAAAATAAATAAATTTTTTTTTATTTTTTAAATGGGTTTTAATGTGGGTTTATTGTGGTTTAAAAATGTGTTCTATTTAGTTGAAATATTTTTATAAGTTTTCCTTATCATTTTACTATATAAGCATTCCCTTTTAATTTTTATCATTTTACTGTAGTGCAGCTTTCCCATTAGCGCCTGACAGCTTATTGCCGCAGTCTAGCAACTACCTGTCGCATGATTTCCTGTCCTCTGCATGGCTCGACTTGGCTTAATAGTCTTCTTCGCTCATTTTCATGGCTCAATACTTGTCATAATAATATCTCCTATGTCCTAACAACTCCTGACATTTACTTGCAGGCATCTTCTCTTACATTGTTTCTTTCATATCCTTTTCTAAAAAGCTAGTTGACTGATTCGAATGAAGCAAAATTCAACTAAATTTGATATAACTAGAGATTTCGAAATATATAGGGCTCTGAACTAACAAGGGCTGTAAAAACGGCGTAGTGACAGAAGGAAGATCCACAGAAAGAAGACCCACAGACAAAAACCCACAAGGAAAAATTTTACTAAAATCTTAAAAGAACAAGATTGGTCAAAGTTACGGTACAAAAAACAATCAACGTAAATCTAATGGCGTCGGCTAGTTGCGGCACGGTCGCTACGTCTACACTAGTGATGCTCGGGAGAAGAAAAAACCCGGGAATCGGGAAACGGGAGTCGGGTCGGGAAATGACCTCGGGAGTCGGGAATTAGCAATAAAAAAATTTTTGGCGCCTTCGGCGCCAAAAATTCCGATTTTTTGTACCATAGGCAAAAATATTGAAAATTTTGGAAGGTAAAGAAGCCTTACTAGCGCCGCAGGCGAAAATTTTGAGAATTTTTAGGTCTTGAAGTTAGATTTCTTCCATTTTTTGGCAGCCAAAAATTTTGACTCTCATTGGAGTGAAATATCTCTTCATATCCCTCTATAGTGAACGATCTTTAAGGGTAACTTAAGAGTTTATTTCACCAATTAACAGCCTGTCCAAAAAACCTAGTAACCGCAGAGATAATCAGTAGAGCCAGGATTTTTAGGCACGATAATGTTAAAAATAGGCGCCTATATAGGCACTAAAAAACTGACAAAATAGGCACTAAAATCCGAAAAAAATGCAAAATAGGCAGGATTTTTTCGAGATTTTCTTATCTAAATTGAATAAATTTTATCAAAACAGATAAATATAAGCAATAAACTGTTAAATAAATTAATTTTGACGATTAGAATTACAGATAAACTAATTTATATTAATTATTTTGTTTCCAAAAATAATTTGATAAATTTTTCAGAAGAAAATTTTTCCCAAAAAAATTTTTTAGACAAAAATTTTTTGGAAAAATTTTATATTTTACCAGAAAAAATTTTTTTGACAACAATTTTCTCAAAAAATCCCCAAAAATTCGCAAATTTTTGTAAAAATATGCAAAATAGGCTGAAAAAAGGCAAAATAGGGCATTTTGCCAGAAAAAGTTAAAATAGGCAATTTTAGGCAACGATAAAAGTAGTTAGAAAGCCGATTTCATTAAAATAACATCGGATTTGAACGTTTCAGCATCAGGCCTATCTAGGAAAAAAACAGGCATTTGCCTAAAAATCCTGGCTCTAATAATCAGTGTTGGGTATTGCTGGTGGCTTTTTCTTTGAGCCAGAGCCCAGCTTTGATTTATAATTGTTGCCATTGACCTTAAGTCCTTAGAATCTCTCCGTTGGAATGAAATAGAGGAAAAGAGAGTGAAACAGAGAAAAATATTTTTACGTTCAATTTTGGTGGAATTTTAGTGAACTAGCCACATATCTCTATATATCCCCTCAATAGTATTAACACCCCTATGCAACATTAATCATACATTGATATCCCTCTTTATTACTGCAAATCCCTCGTTATCTCTTTAAATTCACCATAATCCTAGTAAATCACCGAAATCTTCTATACTAAAACTCCACAGATTCTTCTGTTTTCAGCGCCGCAGGCGAAAATTTTGAGGAATTTGGAAGATCCTTAAGCCAAAAAATCTTCCCTTTTCAGCGCCGCAGGCGAAAATTTTGGGAATTTTAGGAGACCAAGAGGCCAGATTTCTTCATTTTTTATAAATGAAAATATAATTTTGTCAGAAAAATCCATTCTTAGGGGTGTAAAAATTTCCCGACTTAATCGGGAATTGACACCGGGAGTCGGGATCGGGAGGCCAAAAACTCGGGAAATTTTCCCGAGTCGGGAGTCGGGATCGGGATACCCGAGCATCACTAGTCTACACTACATAATAACATAGACCTATTCCTATTATCGCTGCAGTGGGCATGCCTGCCATCCTCCGAGGCAGCAAAAACCCCCATATAAGAAAAATGTAAGAAAAATGGTTTTGGGTCTTTTGCCTTCTGTCTGTGTCTTCTGCGACAAATGCAAGCTTATAGTTGCCTCTAACTGGGAAACATAACATAAGGTTCTGATATCCTTCTTAATCCTACAAATACACCCGTTGACGTAACAACATCCCCCGACAAATTCCCCTTAGTACATAATTTGTGATAATTTCTATTTTAAGATACTAATATTCTTTTACTTAAATGGCAATTCTCAAATGTTGGTCCTCAAAAGTTGGTCCCCAAATGTGGTCCTCAATCCTTAAATTCGATACTCAAATGTCGGTCCGCAAAAGTCCGTCCCCAAGTGTCGCACTGCGTATAAAAAATTTCTTTTCTATGCCTTTTTAGCCCTTGAGTAAGTCAACATAAAAATAAAAAAAAATTTTTACTTTTTTATTTTTTATTTCATAAAGTTTGATAGGAATCATACTAAAGTTGAATAATTAAAACTATGAGTTGAATAATTAACTTTCATGGACTATAAACTGCTTTCTTCTGATTTTGAAGCCCAAAATTCCGCCTTTGCCCAAAATTTTAAAGCCAAGTATTCCGCTTTTTTATAGTAAAGCCGAAAATTCTTGGAGCCCGACTTTCTTATGCCCAAATTTCTGGACACCGAAAAGAGAGGTGCTTGTGAAGAAAAAAAGGGAGGAGATAAAAAAAGCTTTATGATACACTCAGGGTAAATGCTAACCCTTATTCTTAAAAATCCTTAATTGAGGAAAGTTTAAATAAAAATTTTTTTTAATTTTTAATTTAAATTTTTATAAATAATTTTATTTAAGTATATTTCAAAATTTTAAATAAAAATTAATTTTAAGTGTAGCGAGAAGAGTAGCGAGGGGAGAGAGGATGGGGCGCCGAAGGACATAAAATGCCAGCACAAAAATTTTAAATTTAGAGGGGGAATGTAAAGAAAGGAAAAATTTTTAATTCTTTAAATTGATTGGCCGTCCACATAAAATTGATTGGCCATCCACAATAAATTTAAATTAAATTTTTAAAAACTTTACTATACATTTCCCAACTTAAGAAGTTTTTTACAAGCTAGAAATTTTAGATCTTTAAGCTCATCTGAAAGTAATAAAAATTTGCTACAGTATACACTTAATATAATTTTCGAGAAAAAATCCTCTTAAGATAAACAATCAGCATACTTTCAAATAGGAAAGCACCCCGAGCCTTCTGGGTCGGGAATGTTGGGAAACGGGTTTTGCCGAAAAATGCATGTCGGGAGTAAGGGTTGCTTTTGGGCCGAGCCGCGATTTGTTGGGGTAAAGCATTCGGGGATCGGGTCGGAGTCTTTGCCAAAAAATTGTCGTGATCAGAGTATGCAATCTAGAGACCGGCAAAATTGCACTTCCGAAATCCCGAGTCGGGATTTTTTCTCAACCGATGCCGGGACGGAATCCCAAGAGAGAAATCCCTAATCCAAAAAATAAAAAAATCCGGGATTTCGGGATCCCGTAAAATCCCGTCGGGATCCCGTCCCGCGCCGGTCTCTAATGCAATATCAAAAAACACAACACGCAACGAAAGCCAAAATTTAACGCGCAAAAAAAAATTTTATTCAAACATTAGCCATCTTCCAATGAGGTATTTGATATATTTGAAATGAGGTATTTGAAATGAGGTACCTGAAAACAAGGAGCTGTCGACTTACAATTTTAGGCAGAAGGAGAAAAAGAAGAAAAAATGCGGGGAAATAAACTATAAGTACCGTATAAATGTTTACATTTATTGTGACGCGAATTTTTTTGAAGTTATTTACGCTTAAAGTAACTCAAGAAAAAATTAATTAAGCAAAAATTATTTTCCCATTATGTACTTTTTATTAATATCAAACATTAATTGACACATTTATAACAAATTTATAAACTTTTAAAATGTTAGTTAGTTATATCTCATTAAAATTGTATTAAACTTTTTAAAATTTTTAAATTTTCCCATTAAGTATATGCAGTTAATTAATGTTTGTATTTGAAAAGACTAAATTGTTAAAATATAAAAGTGTGTAAAAATGAGTTTTTTGGTCCTGATCATAAGAAGGTTGTTAGGTGACCATGGTAGCGGGAGCGCCTCCTTGACCATACGATGTTGGTGTTGCCATTTTTCTTATTCCTCCTTATTTGAAAAATCATAACTTTTTTTAAAACGAAGTTAAAAATTTTATTTTTTACCAAAATATAAATTGGAATGTTAGCTATGGGTTAACAAGAAATCAAAAATTTTCCCCGACTTATCTAAAAGTTATGAATTTTCGAACAATGCACTACTTTTTCTTAAAAAATGACTAAAAAATTAGGTACATTTTGTTAATCTTATACCGCGTTTCTTCTAGTAGTACGACTCCTTCTATTAGACCGACCCTTTCTAATAAACCGACCCCCTAGAGGAAGGTTGAGGGGATTAAGGTTAGATCAGGTGATTTGTAATAACATGATTTTGGACAAATATTGGGCAATTAATTGAATAAAAGTGGATTTTCTTTAAATTTTCTGTTCATCCCTTTATTCACCCATATCCCTGTTAATTCACAAATTCGCTCCTTATCTCATTATCTTTTTAAATCCTTGATATATCGGTTACGGTGAAACACTAGTTTTATATTCCCGGCATAGATGCTAAGTCATTTTTAGGGTTTAAAACTTTGTTTTCCGATTTGATCATAAAAATATTGGGCATTAGGTTCTTTTTAATTTTGTGCCCTAAAATCTGAAATTTTTCTACAAGTTATTACATATATGTAGACAAATAACTTAAAGAAAGGCAAAAAAACTAGAGTTTCAATAATTAACGGTTACTTATAAAAATCTTTGTAAAGATAATTTTAAAGGAAGAAAGGACTTGATACATTTAGCAATATTGCAAAAAATTGCTGAATTTTATGATTTCAAAATTATCCTTTCCTTAATAAAATAATCCTGTTTAGTAAAAAATAAAATAAATCGGCGAAAGTTGCGACCTTTAAGGCCCCTTAATGTCTGTAAAATAATTATGGTTCACTCATATTTTAGGGCATATCTCGAGTAATCTAAAAATCAACCATAAAGTAAACTTGAAAAATTAAAAATAGATACTCGATTTAACAACTAAACAAAGACAAATGAGTTCACCAGCGTGGAATCCAAATGGAACAGAACATCCTGTAAGTTTTTAAATTAAAAAATGAGGCTGCACTTTAGCCGGTTTTAAAGCCCCATGAAATGCTTAGCATTCTATTACTCTCCCTATGGTTTTTGTATTTTCGGGGATTTATATCTTATTCCAAAGCAGAGATGGGTCGAAATCCGATTTCCAACTTCAGATTTTCGTCGTTTTTTCCTTCCGATTTCCGAAAAAAATTTTGATTTCCGATTTCCGATTTTCGAGTTTTGAGCCAGTTCCAATTTCTGGCTCTTCCGATTTCCGACACCTCTGACATTTTCGACTCACCTCTGTTCCACAGGCGTTTCCTATTCGGGAGATATACATTTCAAGGGCTTTACAACTAGAGCCCGGACGGAGGGCTCGGTCGATATTTTTTCGATAAATATCGAAAAATACCGAATATCGAAAAATATCGAAAAAACCAAAATTTTCTCGGTCGATATTTTTTCGATAAATATCGAAAAATATCGAAACCGAAAAATATCGAAAAAAAAGTCTCGATATTTTTCGATTTTTCAAAAATTTTTCTATAACCAATGAAAAACAGAATAGACCTAATAGTTTAATAAGATTAAGATTGATTAAATAGGATATTGGTGGATTTGGACGTATTAAATGTAATATCAATGGATTTGTATTGATATCGAAGGATCAAGTGAGATATAAGTGGATTTTATCTATGGATAATGGATTTTAAGGAATTAAGGGGATATTAATGGATGGAGTGCGTATCGAGAGTTTAGAGGTAGTAAGAGTAATATTGTGAATTTGTGAGATCAGGTGGGATATCAAGGGATTTGTGGATTAAGAGGGATATCGAGGGATAACGAGATATCAGAGGATGAAAAATCTTGGCATTTGATATCCGTTTTGATATTCATCTCTCCCAATGTCCTTGATCCCTTGACATTTTACCCACTTAATCCTCTATAAGTTATACAAATAGTCGATTATCCTAGATATCCATAATATCCTCATGATCCTGGATATCTCAAATATCCCACAAATCTTCTCATAGCACACTGAAATCTCCCTTAATCTACCGAAATTTTTTTAAATTTATATTAGTGTTTTGTAGGGAATCGAGGGAATATGATGGCTTAATGGGACAAAAAAGGATATTCTAACAATTTTATGAAAATCTCGGAAGGTCAAGTTGCAAAATTTTTGCGTCGCAGGCGAAAATTTTTTGAATTTCCGATGGGCAAGAAGCAAAAATGCATCCTTTTTGGCTCAAAAATTCAAATTTTTGTCGAAAATGACGTTCGATATTTTTTTCGATTTTTTGTAATTTGGTCGGTCGATTGTTTCGATTTTTAAAATTTTTCGGTCGAATTTTTTCGATAAATATCGAAAAATACCGAATATCGAAAAATATCGAAAAAGACAAAAATTTGTCGGTCGATATTTTTTCGATAATATCGAAAAATATATATCGAAAAATACCGAAAAATATCGAAAAAATATCGTATCGGTCCGGGCTCTATTTACAACCACCCACCTGCTAAAATATATCCATTATTTATAAAACCATATTTTAGTTTTTCCATACTTTCAATATCCTGCATATCAAGACACTTTTGTTGTAATAGATATACTTGTGCTGTTATCTCTGGGTATTTTTTCTGTATCTTCTAATGGATTTCTTGTTTTAATCACAATTAAATTCAAGACGTAACTTTAGATTTGGTACTTGTGTAGTTCCCCCTCCAGCTCATAAGCCTCGCCTGAAGCCTCACTCCCTTATTCGTCTCTCTTCTTCTTAAAAATGCCATTTGGGTTAATTCCAGTATTTTATCTCAACAGCTTATAAGTACCCATTTCCGGATTTTATAATCTACGATCCAGTGCTGTTATGAACGGTAACTTTGGGTTAGTAGAGTTCTCTATTCCCAAAAATTTGTTAAACTACCCAAAACATACTTAAGTTTAACTACCCCCACTGTTTTGCTGCATTCCTATTTTTCCACTCTTTTTTAGGAGAAAGATAAGGAACGCTTATGGAGAGGGGGGATAACTACACTACACAAGAACCTTTGAATTTTATTTAAAAATACATATTTAAACATTAAGAGCACTCAATTCAAGTTGTTTTTATTTACTTGGGTTAAATGCATTTTATGATATGATTGTTGCTTCAACTGGCATAATTGCCTCAATTCTTTATGCAATCTATGGAAAATTCAAATTAACAAGAAATGCATGTTTATGGTTTAATATTGTTCCACTAACCGCTTTTCATATGTCTTTTGTTTTTGTATTTTTTATTGCTTTTGATCGGCTACTTTCTGTATTTTTCCCTATTTGGTATTTTTCCCATTTTCCTTTTATATTAGTGTGAACTTAAGTCCTGTCGTAGGGGGTTATATGTATGAATGTCGCTTGATGGATATACTTGTTCTATATACCATTCGAAAGCTTGATTCGTATCTCATTTGACATGTTTCAGCGTTTTTGATAAAATTCAAAACTTGTCAGATATACGCGGATAAAGAGGCTATGATCGAGAATGTCATATCTGGAGCTGGATCATAACTTTTTTTAGAAATAAATCAATTTTAGAAGAGAAAAAAATTTTTAGAAAAAAACATAACAGAAAAAATGAGCAGAAAAATACTAGAATTTAGAAAAGAATTGTAATCAGAATAAAGATTCGGAATTTTATAATATTATTATACATACTTAGTTCGTACAACAAAGTTTGAGCTTAGATTAAATGGCTGTTTATTCACAAAACGACAATTTCAATAATATTAGTCTCGGTATTATTGTCGTATCCAGGCCCCCTTTTTTCTTCTCAAGTTTTTCCCTACGTATGTACAGAATGGTCAGACATTTTTCTTACTTACAGTTGCCTTTCTATATTTTGCATAAAACAATCAAAAGTATTATTTTTTATTCAGTTCTTTCGCAAAATAAGAAAGGTAATTGGGATGGAAGAAAATAAAGTCTGACCATTCTGTACATATCGAGGAAAAAACTTGGGGAAGAAAAAATGAAGCTCCAAAATGACACTATTACCGTATTCTATTTAAGTTTAAATTTATCAATTAAAATTAAGGCATCTTGGTCTGCGTATTAAAAGTTATTTATCTTTGATATGTACAATTTCATTGGCTGTAGGCATTTTGCTTTCATATTTTGCTGTTCTATATCCATTGAATAGTGATCAGACGTTTGAAATTTTTAATATAGAAAAATATTTCCTTAAACTTTCATCCCTGGGTAAACCCCGGAGTACCAATGTACTGCCAAGCTATAACTTCGATCAAATTTATCAAATCAGAACGCCCGGGTATAGTTCGATTAAGCTCGTCGAGTTACATGAGCTATACAAGGGCGTCCCGGATTTGATAATTTTAACAAAATTGTAGCTCTGCGGTACGTTGGGCTCGTAATACTTTGCTAGGTTAATTTTTATTAGACCGAAAAACTGACCCCGCCCCGAAACAATTAGAAACCCCCGTACCCGACACACCCGCCCCCGAGCGTTCGGGTTCCAACCCTTAGTGACCTATATTAAAGGGAAAGCAAACTTTCTTTTCCCTTGAAACTTGTTTTCGCGCATATTATTATGCAGAAAATTATCTCTACTGAAGGATTATATGAAATTTAAAAATTTACCGATATATTAAACATTACTATGGTAATAATCAATTTTAGAATGATACGTTGTTACATTGGTGATTTATGGAATGGTAATTATGTGAATATACTTTTACCTGTTTGTCTTACATTAACAGCTGCAGCTGTGTTTTGTTATATTTTAATATTTATTCGACTTCATTTTCGAAAAAATGCTCCAACTACCCAAAATAATACTAAAAAGTTGGAAGGAGTTCACAAATCATTAATTATTATTTTATTAATAATTATTTTTGGGTGGATATGTACTTCTATCAATCGTCAATTAATTAAAGTGATATTTTCAAGTCCTTACCCTGTAGCTTTTATAATCATGAATTGTTTGGATTTAACTTTGACTTTTCTTGGAGTTGCCAATACTTTTGTTCTTTATAGTTGCAGGTTGGAAAATATAAAGTTTAGGCATATTGAATAGGATTTTGGATCAGGGTTGTCTTTTTACCCTATTTATAGGGCATTTTCCCTATTTTTGATCTTTTCGCCCTATTTTTCCCCATTTTAGTGGTTTGGAAAAGACAACCTTGTTTTGAACTGGGTTTTGGCGTGAGGACGTTTAGGCGAGAGCTTATAAAAAAGCGAATTGTTAAGCTAGAAGCCTTTAATTTTGCAATAATAGCAATCGTATGTTTATCTAAGTTATCCAAAAATTTCAGAATTTTTCAGCAATAATTTAAGAAATTATGGCCAAAAATGTCGATTCTCATAGTATATGCCTAAATTTTCGAGTTTATTGACTTTAACTTTAAAAATATTCGATGAAAAATTCTGAAATTTCTGAAGGAGGTAGTCATGGATGTTAAAGAAACTTGAAAAAAATTTAAAGAATTCAAGTTTTGCCTAATTGTTTGTTAGAGCCATGCGCCCAAACGATCCCAACGCTATTTTTATGTATTCCATTACGAGATTTAAGAGGTTGTGTATACAAGCACTTATTGAAACTATAAAATATTTTCTTTGTTGATTCGAATAATTTATTTAAAATTTAACAAAATTTATTTAGCAAAGTCTACAAAAATTCCATCAATAAATTTTTCTTTCCGGGAATAAATACTACTCCAGTTGTTTCAATTCAAAGATTAAGATGATAGAAGTAATGCACGGATATAATATAAAAATTAAAAATATGACGATAACTTTGGAGAAAATTCTAATTTTTAAAATTTTTCTTTACGTATAAATGTAAATTTTCAGAAATAAAATTTCGTAACCCATGTCAATCTATAGACAAAAGTGCATATCAAGGTTGCCGCGAGTACAAAAAATCTTCGGGTACGGGTATCGGGTTGGAGCGTTTTCATTTCAGGTCACGAGTACGGGTTTCGGGTTTTCAAACATTAATGAGAATTCTTTATTACAATAATTAATAATAATTGGGAAGAAACCTACACTGGATTAAGAGACGCAATTAATAAGAGACCTAATATTTTAAATGAGAAAAAAATCTTTATTACAATAATTAACAATAATTGGGAAGAAAACTACACCGGATTAAGAGACGCAATTAATAAGAGACCTAATATTTTAAATGAGAAAAAAATCTTTATTACAATAATTAACAATAATTGGGAAGAAAACTACACTGGATTAAGAGACGCAATTAATAAGAGACCTAATATTTTAAATGAGAAAATAATCTTTATTACAATAATTAACAATAATTGGGAAGAAAACTACACCGGATTAAGAGACGCAATTAATAAGAGACCTAATATTTTAAATGAGAAAAAAATCTTTATTACAATAATTAACAATAATTGGGAAGAAAACTAAACTGGATTAAGAGACGCAATTGATAAGAGACCTGATATTTTAAATGAGAGAATAATCTTTATTACAATAATTAACAATAATTGGGAAGAAAACTACACCGGATTAAGAGACGCAATTAATAAGAGACCTAATATTTTAAATGAGAAAAAAATCTTTATTATAATAATTAACAATAATTGGGAAGAAAACTACACTGGATTAAGAGACGCAATTAATAAGAGACCTAATATTTTAAATGAGAAAATAATCTTTATTACAATAATTAACAATAATTGGGAAGAAAACTACACCGGATTAAGAGACGCAATTAATAAGAGACCTAATATTTTAAATGAGAAAAAAATCTTTATTACAATAATTAACAATAATTGGGAAGAAAACTAAACTGGATTAAGAGACGCAATTGATAAGAGACCTGATATTTTAAATGAGAGATAATCTTTATTACAATAATTAACAATAATTGGGAAGAAAACTACACCGGATTAAGAGACGCAATTAATAAGAGACCTAATATTTTAAATGAGAAAAAAATCTTTATTATAATAATTAACAATAATTGGGAAGAAAACTACACTGGATTAAGAGACGCAATTAATAAGAGACCTAATATTTTAAATGAGAAAAAATCTTTATTATAATAATTAACAATAATTGGGAAGAAAACTACACTGGATTAAGAGACGCAATTAATAAGAGACCTAATATTTTAAATGAGAAAAAAATCTTTATTACAATAATTAACAATAATTGGGAAGAAAACTACACCGGATTAAGAGACGCAATTAATAAGAGACCTAATATTTTAAATGAGAAAAAATCTTTATTATAATAATTAACAATAATTGGGAAGAAAACTACACTGGATTAAGAGACGCAATTAATAAGAGACCTAATATTTTAAATGAGAAAAAAATCTTTATTACAATAATTAACAATAATTGGGAAGAAAACTACACTGGATTAAGAGACGCAATTAATAAGAGACCTAATATTTTAAATGAGAAAAAAATCTTTATTACAATAATTAACAATAATTGGGAAGAAAACTACACTGGATTAAGAGACGCAATTGATAAGAGACCTGATATTTTAAATGAGAAAAAAATCTTTATTACAATAATTAACAATAATTGGGAAGAAAACTACACCGGATTAAGAGACGCAATTAATAAGAGACCTAATATTTTAACTGAGAAAATAATCTTTATTACAATAATTAACAATAATTGGGAAGAAAACTACACTTGATTAAGAGACGCAATTAATAAGAGACCTAATATTTTAAATGAGAAAAAAATCTTTATTATAATAATTAATAATAATTGGGAAGAAAACTACACTGGATTAAGAGACGCAATTAATAAGAGACCTAATTTTTTAAATGAGAAAATAATCTTTATTACAATAATTAACAATAATTGGGAAGAAACCTACACTGAATTAAGAGACGCAATTAATAAGAGAGCAAGAATTCGAGCCTCGGGGTCACGCTCGATAATGGCAGCCATTATTGAAGCAGCTGTGTAGGTCTTTCAAGTGCCCGGAGGCGCTTGAGCAAAGACCACACGTGGCACATCATCAAGGAGAAGTTCGGCCGTTCTTGACTGTTCATCACCTAAACGGTTTATTAAATTAACTCCCCACCTATCTGATTGGCGCGAAGAGCCGGGCGCTCTGGTCTATCAGCCTTCCCAAGGAGCATTTTGATCACCTTGCTATTCATTGTGCCAGATCTCGCAGTCAGGCAAAAGATTTTCAGAGAAGATTTCCATCCGCTTCACCTAGGCAGTAGTTGGTTGAAGACGCACGAATTGCACTGCTACAATTTCTTCATTTCTGAATTCATTCCAAAATGACCAGTTGTCCTCATCTTTTGATTCTTGATGTGACAAATAAGCTCGACTTGTAGGCTGAAGGCTTCTCCATCCACTTCTTTTTTTAGCTTGAGTCACAAAGCCATGGGCACAGGGACGAGCCCTTTCAGTTACCGAGCACGAGACGGACGAATCTTCTTCATATCATTTGGCCATTTCCACCAATTCGTTTTGGAGTTCAACTGGTAGGTGAAGCGAACCACCCCCTGGTTGGGACTAAGAGTCCGAACAATTTCTACAAACACCAAACTATTTTCAACGAGAAAAAAACCTAACTATTTCAATAACAATGATTAGCTTTACTCTCCTCACCAGTTGCAAACTCAATGAACATGTCTTTTTGTTTATTACCTAACACATTAAGATCTGCCCTCTTGTTGTCATCATCGAAATAATTGCACAGAAATTCTTTATTATCAAAAAAAAGTAGAAGCCAACACAAATAAAACCTAAAAGTAATAATTTAGCTTGCATTATCACATAACTAACTTTATGTCTCTCCTGAAACTATTTCTTTAAACGACGCAACGTTTCTGGCCCAGAAAGAAGAAACGTTGGTTGAGAAAAAAGCCAGGTTGGGTTTAATTAAACCTAAAAAATTATGGTCAGATTTTCAAAATATGGTCTGATTTCAAATTAGATAAGATTTTCAAAGTCTTCTTCAGAGCTGCTTTGGGGTGAGAAATCGGCCCCGAAGGATGTTTTTAACCTTTTTAGACTCACTATCTCATGACTCTCCCTCCTATGCCGGCAAAATTCTGCCCGTGGACGTCGTTATAGAAAGATTAAGAGCATTTTTATTTTTAATTAGAAAATAATTCTGGTAAATATTTAAATTTTGAATAATTTTATTAAAAATATACACTGCTCCAATAAATCTGTGGAACCCTAAAACTGGGGATTTTTGCCTATAACTCTCGAAAAAATTGATTTGAAAAAATTTTTTAAAACATACTTTTTGAGCACTATTTATTATTACAAAAAAGTCTAAAAAAAACATCTCGGTTACAGTATTGAAGCCAAGAAAAATATAGGAGGGGCTATAATTTTATGGAGCAGTGTTGCGGTTGATTAAATATATTAGTGAATTAACCATGAAAAAGAAAAATATTGTCTCGTTGTGCATAATTATCACAGAAAAGAATTTTTTAAAATATTGCAAATATACAGAATTAGATTGAATATTATGAAGATAATGCTTTTAATATTATTATTAGAAAGAATAATAGAAAATCTAACTTCACTTCACAATTAAAAGTCAGAGGTCCTCTATCGAATGGTACCAAAAAATATATTAAATTCTCAGTTAGAGTAAACTATATGAAGGGGTGTATCCATATCAGGGATGGGACGGGTTACCCGAAACCCGATCCGAAGAAAATTTTGAAAACCCGATCCGAAAACCTACACGACTTTTTTCTCAACCCATCCCAGGTCAATATTAATAAAAAAAGTGAAGTCAGACTGTATAAAGAAACCAAAAAAGTCAACAAAAAATTACTAACCGAATACTAAAAATAAAGATAGTACATAAAAGAAAGAATCCTTAACAATCACCCCAATTTTATTTTTTTTAATTTTCTCTCAACTCTAATTTCTATCAAAAGCATATGGTTTTAATGCCAGTATTGCCATTTTTACAGCCTTTGCACACTCTCCAGCTTTTGGAAGAATAAAATAATGGACATGACTTACATGTGTCCTTTAAAAGAAAAAAATTTTCTTTGAAATTTTAAAAATTATTTTTTAAGCTTACTCTCCAGTCGGTAATTCATATCCAAATTTAAATGTCAAAAATTCTGGAAATCTTCGTTTACTAGTTACTTTTAATATACTAGCTAATGAATGTCTCATTGAGGAACAAACTATTCCTTCCTGTTAAAATAATTTTTTGGATAATTTTGACTTCTAAAAAACTCACATTAATGTCCACTTTGTGAAAAATGTGCATATGTGTTCTACTAAAAAATAGGAAAAAAATTATTTTTATTAATAAAGCAATTAAGAGAAAAATTTTTAATTAAGTCATCGGATATTTTTTCTATTAAATGCTTGAAAATTACAATTTAGACGAAACATTAAATTTTCGAAAACTTTATTTTAAATATAATCCTCTAAAATCACCCACTTTTCTTCTAAAAATATTTTTACGTGTCAGTGTTATTTTGAAAAGCTTTTTTTTCTAGGCGAAACTAGTTAGGAAAAAAATTAATATAAAAAAATCCAAACCTTAAAGCTATATAACAAGGTATTCGATTATCTTTAGATGGACTTGAATATTGGAATAAAGTCCTATCTTCAATTGCAAACACTTCCTTTAAAAATAAATTTTCAAAAAAAAAATTTTTTCAATTTTTAAAAAAACCTCTCCCTCAAAATTTTCAATAATTTCAGCTTTTTTTATAATTTCATTCCATTTAAGTCTTTCCCCTTCTTTTGGTTTTGCCTTCATTTGTGAGGGGGAAGAAATTTGTAATTCATCAACATCAGAACTTAGCGATTCTTCTTCATTTATTGAAAATACTGATTGAATATTTCTATATCTTTTATTTCCAATTCTTTCTGAAGTGCTGACATGTTTTAATAAATCTTTTGAAAAATAAAAAAAAAATTTTTTTTGAAAAAATTTTCCCCCAAAAAACTAACCAGATTTGTTCTCTTTTGTATTAATTTCTTTTGGTTGTTTTATTTGAACAGATTTCTTTAGTAATGACAAAAATGACTAAATTAGTTTAATAAAAATAGAAATTAAGCCTATAAATAGAATTTTTTGAAAGCTAGGCAAAAAATTGGGGCAAGCGGTTCTTTATTCTATGTTATCCAGATTTCGATAGAGTTAGTGAGGTACCCGCATAAATGACTTAATGGTAGTCCACAATAAAAGAATAATAGAAAAAATTCTGTTTAAACGGGGCCCTCCCTGAGCATCAATTTTGGACATCTTTTGATTTCATTCGATAGAAAGCACCTATTACCACGTTGTGACCTAATTCAGTTACAGAGCAATTTTCGGTAGTTATAGGCCTTCATTCTTATTGTTAGGAAAAAAGGAATGAAAAATTTTTAATTTTAACAAAATTTCAGACAAAAACCTTTTTCCATTCACTTTTAGGATGTACAGTCAACGGTCCATTTTTGCATTCAATACAATCATTTTTTGTAAAGTGATTACTCAATTTTTGTAAATTACCAGTTTCAGAAAGAATTGAATGTAAAGCTTAAAAATAAAAAAATTTTCTTTCAAAAATTAAAAAAAAACCTTTATATCCCCCCTCGGCATAAGAAATGTGCTCGAGATTTTGATGGAGAAAACGAGAAATAGCCATAAACATAAATTGGTCTTCTTCTTCATGTCCAGAACCGACAAAACAAATGTGGTCTTTAGGGCAAGTTTCAGTTTTAAATTTTAAAAGTGAGGACATTGCAAAGCCAAATTTGTCTGGGTCTTCAACAATCTACAAAAGAAAAAAACATTTTTTTTGAAATTTTTCAAAATTTTTCAAAAAATTTTAGAAAATTTTCAGTATAAGAAAAAAATTTTATTTTACCGTTTCAGCATTTAAATTAAAAGCACCAGAAATAGATCCAGCATTAAAACTTTTTTGTGGTCGAGTGTCAATAATAAAATAAGAAAAATTTGAATTTGTAATTTTTGGGTCAATAGCACGTTTATAAAGCTCTTGAGCAGAAATTGAAAGGCAAATAAGTCGATTTAAAGGCTGTTCAGAACATTCATCAAGTAGGTTTGAGCCAAAAAGCATACAATGAAAATCCTTAAAGAAATTTTACTTTGAAAAATTTTCAAAAAATAATTTCATAGACTTAACTAAGGAACATTGCTTTTCCATGTTGGCATCCAATGTAATGCCTAGACTTGGAAGACTCTTGCCTTTGGTGTTTTTTGTTTCCCATTCCCCTAATGTAAAGGAGACCCACCAGCAGGCTAGCATTTAAAACGCTAACTAGACGAAGGTTTAAGAAGAAGGCAAAGCATCGCCCCAGTAGCTCACTTAGTCGGTAGAGCACCAGCAAATGGTGAGCGATAGCTTATTAGCAATAACTGCATGAAAGTCGCAGGATGCCAGTCCATGGCTTTTTGTCTCCCCTTCTCCTCATATTCCAAATTTTTGGCAAGAACCCGTCATTAGTTACACCTATGAATTAAATAGTAAAAAACCTCTCGCACGGAAATCGGTGTCAAATTTAAGTGAACAGAACAAATTTCAAGTAAATCAGTTAAGTCATCTCTTGTCATTTTGCTTGGAATATCTTTGAGTAAATTAAGAATTTTGTCACGTTCAGTTAATAGAAGAATTTCATCCTTTACACTTTGTACAAAGGCCAAAGAAACGAAGAAAATTAGGAAAGGATCTCCCTAGAAAAAAATTTTTTTGAAAATTTTTTAAAAATTCCCCCAACCTTTTCGAAATATCTATCCCAAAGTAGATTACACAAATCATCATCCATATTTACACATAACAAAGTCCGAAGCCAAAAACTTGTAAATTCTGATGATTGAATTTTGAAGGAATCCAAAAATGAGCAAAGTTGAGGGTCATGGTATTGCATTAAAAGGCGTAATAAATCGAACATTTTTGGTGATCTTAAAAAATATAAAAATTCAAAGAGTTACGGGCTTAGGTTCAAAATAGAAATAATGTTAAAAAAAATTCCTGCAACTAGACCTAACAAGGAAATATCATAAACTGTACCCAAAGCCGTTCTAAAAGTAGAAAAGCTTTTAAGCCTTATATCTCTTCGATTTGGAGGTCAGGGCCAAAAAAGCCAAAAATTGGCAACAGGTTATCGACCCTGCTCTACACGATAGTGCAAAGAAATACGAAATTTTTGGATACAGTTTAAGATGTTTCCTTGTAAGAATGCTAAATTAAGTCTTGCGATTTTCAATTCAAAATTAAAAAAAAACCCTCCGCCATCCAAACTAACCTCGGAATATATTTCGTTGTAATAGCCCAAAAAACATTAAAAAGATTGCATTTATCAAAAGGAAATTCCAACAATTTTCCAAGTATTTCTAACCATCCTTTGTCTTGTTCATACCCAACATTTCTTCGTTTACAATATAAAGTCATAAGGCTCTCAATTTCAGGCACAGTCCATCTTGAAGAAATATTGCTTCTTTGTTGTATTAATTTTTGGCAATCCTTTCTCAATAATGATTGGTTTTTCAAATTGTAAAGATTATCCCAGTCTGTGAGGGGGTCAGGTTTGTTTCGAACTCCGAGAAGATTCTGAAAAAAAAATTTTTTTATAATTTAAACGCGTTTAAAAATGATTTTTTGTGTAGGACGGTTCTTTCATACGCTAGTAAAAGTCATTTTACAAAGGTACATGAAGACCTAACATTAAGAGACCAAGGAAGCAAGAACCAAGAGGAAACACCACAGGCCAGTAGGCATTGGAGATTGAGATTTTGAAAAGCCTGGCCTGTTCTTGGGCCTATAGTCCAGGAAAAACCCAGGCCCAGGAAAAACCGAAAAAGGAAAAAAAATGTCTGGACTCTGGGAACAGGAAAAACCCAAACCTTGGTCCAGGTCCAGCTTGATCTCTAGTAAGCATAAATTTAAAGGCTCACATCATTTAGAAACATCCAAAAAATTGAAAAAATCTAAAAAAATCCAAATAAACCTTACAATCCAACTATTGGCCCTTGAAGACAAATATAAAGTCGATTGGTTTCTAACACTCTTGTCACTCTCTCCAGTCACATTTAAACTTTGTCTAGTTATATCGTCACTTAACGAGCTCGATTGACCTTCATCTTCAACCTTTGACCATCCATCACTTAAATCCTGCTCACCATTTTCATCATTATTGTTTGAAAGGGACATTTATTAGAAATTAATTAACTAGCTAAAATCAAAATTTTAAACCCTAAAAAATTTTTTAAAGTAAAAAAAGGGAACAGGCTAAGGTATAGTCGAGCCATAACTTCATTCAAAATTGTAGAAATCAGGGACACCCTAAGATGATTCGAAGTACCTCACCGAGAAAAAATTTCAAATTAAATAATTCATGTGGGGCAAACATGAAAAAATTGACGGGCCAGGGCATGCTGGGTATGTCTTCAGGAGCTTAAATCCTGCTCACAAGGAATTGCAAACAGATCCGGGTCAAAGAACGCCAGATATTTAGGGTAACGTTATAGACCATTTCGAACGTAGTTATAGCTCGTCGGTACCTTAGCCTTGCGATACCTTGAAGTATATCCAAAATAAATTAAAAAAATATTTTTTTGAATGTCAAAAACAATACAAACACAAACAAATTATTTAAAAAAATATTTATGAATTTTATTTTATAATCGTCACACATTCTCTCCCCCTTACAACACAAAAAAAATCACCCGAATATATTTAATAGTTTAACAATGAGAAATTAAATGGTTCGTGTGGGGCAACTGTTTTCATTCCATCCTTTGAATCCCCAGAATCACTACTTACACCTCCAGCTATAGCAGCCTCAACTAATTCCTCTTCTTCGTCTTCATTTAAACGCTCAAACATTATTATTCCTCCACGCGTTATAGATTTAATTGGCGTATAGTGAGATCCCTCAGTTGGCATTGACAATTTGCGTAGTTGAAGACGAACTACACGAGCTGGATTTGAAATATTGTGAAAAGAAGGCTCTTGAACTGCTTCTTTATTGACTCTGGGAAAAATAATAAAAATATAGAAGAGGATATTATACAGGGTTTCATCGCCAGATACATCGCCCACACGCCAATATACCTAGTAGGGACGTCACGGGTTGCAAAAAAGGCGAGGGGTTTTGGATCGGATTTTCACAATTTTTTTTCTAATCGGATTTCGGAGTCGGAAAAAAGTCGGGGCAACCCGTGACATGCCTTCTACCTAGTGACTAAACAGCGATAACAAACCCCCAGCCCCCAATTTAAGGAAAAATCAAACCTTTCATCCGACTTCTCCTTCTCATCAGAATGTGTCTCATCCGTAGGCTCATCAACTTCCATCTTTTCTGGTTCTTTAAAAATAAATTATTGATTTCTCTAAAATCAAAAACAAAACCTTGTTCCTTCTTCTTTTCTCCTCCCTTCTTTTTGTTTGTTGTAGAAAGCACAGCAACTTCAACTTTTTCAACTTCCACCTTCTTTTTATCTTCTAGTGGCGGAGGATAAGCAAAGTAAGAAGCTTTGGTATTGCAACGAAAGACAATTTTGGGCATCTAATTTTAAAAAAATAACCAAACTCCCAAAGAAAACTAAACCTTTAATCCTTTATTTAGCCCAATTAGACAAGTTGGTTGAAATGCCAAAGAAATAAAATGAGTCAGCGAATGCCAATACCAATGCTGTAAAAACACAAAGGTTCCCAAAACTGAAGGCATGTCAGGCTGTCCATCACGGTTATGTAAAGAAAGGGTGACATTTCGCCCACCGGCATCCAAAATTCCTTGAGCAACAATGGCGCCAAACTATAAGAGGAACAAACTCGAAATTAATACAAAATATTCCCTTTAACAAACCTTAGTAATTGTATCCTCACTCTTTTCAGTTATAGTCTTGGTAATTGTCTTGCGAAACTCAACAACATTTGAACATGTAGACTCGGTGTGTTGTATTAATACAAAAGATAAAGCAATTAACGCTCCCTGTCTAACAAAGTTTTCTTTGGCTTGCAACAAAGGTTCAAGACGAGAAACGGACTCCTAAAGAATATTTTTAATTTTCTCAAGAATGGGAGGGGGAAACAAAGAGGCCTCGCCTCGAAAAAACCAAAAATCATAATTTTCAAAACCCAAAAATCTAACCTTATATCCAGATCCAGCACAAGCAATTCCTAACGCAATAGCAGCTCCATAACGAATATGACCATTAAAGTGTTCAAATAACATTCCAGTATGACTCAAGCAAAGTTCGGGGTTCCTAAAGTGATTCAAATCAATCCAAAAAAATTTAAAAAAAAAACCCGCTGAGAACAAAACCAATAGCAATTGTAGCAAATCGTTTAACATCACTACTAGGATCTGCAGCAACTTTTTCCAAAAGTCGTTTAACAACCTCAGCATTACCACTTCCAGAATAAGCCATGGCAATCTACCCGTTAAATGAAAATTGAAAAAAAAATTTTTTATCAAAAATACCATGCACACAGCAGTTTGGCGCATAATAGACTCGGAATGGAAACTTTCAAGAATTTCAATCCAACTAGAAAAAAAATTAATTTTCTTAAAATTAAAAACTAAACGGTTCAGCTTTTTCCAACATTCCATAAGCTAACATAGCAATTCCAGTGCGCAATCCACGTTGAATTTTATCGTGTTGAGTGTCCAAAATGTAGCTTCTCATTTCATCAAAAGCCTTGAATTTTTTAAAAATTAAAGTAAAATTTTTACAAAATAATTTACAGATTGATTCATCGATCCCGCCAAAACTAATCCCATTGCAATTCCAGCTCCTTCACCAGAAACAGCCTCATTTTGACTATACAAGCATTCTCTCAAATGTTCATAAATTTTGACACTACGAGTTCCTAATGCAGCTAATCCCAACCCCAAACATCCTCCATGCCGAACAGCACTTGTAGTGGCTTTGTTTAATTGATCAGTGAGGTAGTTAATGACGCTTTGATTGCCATGATTTGCGTGTATCAAACCTGAAATTTTATTAAATGAATTGTGTCATAGTTAAGAAATGATTTGACGCCAATTTTAACACCCTAGAAAAGGCGAGAAATAGGCAAAAAAAATACACTAGTTCAATCTCCTGATTCTGGTTCCATCGAAAAGCCGGTACTCGTTTTCTATCATACTTTAACAAGTATATTTGTTAAATATCTAAAAAGATAGCTTCTTAATAGGTGGACTCGGCGTGCTAAAAGAGTGGACACCTGGGGCTCAACGCCGTGTAAGTCCTTTTAAAAATGGATTAGAAAATTATAAACAAACCATATGCGTAAAGAGATCCTCCTTCTTTAAAGCCATATGGATCAACATCTCCTCTAGGCAAATAAGGATCGAGGATCTTTCGAGCTTCGCGTTCATGTCCCTAAGGAAAATATTTAAAATAAATTCAGAAATCATCAAAAACCTTATGAATCAAACCAAGTGATGCAACAGCATTGAATTTATTCCAATTGGTCGCTTTAGAAATCCAATCCAAATTCTCTCTGAAAAACATATAAGAAAAATATTAAATTTCAAATAGCATCCCGCCCCTTCCGGGCCGAGAGTCTCGTGGACATGGGTTTGCCGCGGTGGAGCCTTCAAAGTGGGGGTTTTTGACTAAAAAATCGTCGGGGTTTCAGGGGACGTAGTGATACTCTAATTTAAAATATTAAATTAAAAACCTAAGAAAATCATCACAAGTTGTCCCAGTATGCATTAAACCATTGGCAATAACAGTAGCATTATGAGCACACGATCCTCGGACTACATCTTTTATATTCTTCAAAATCAACATATCCGTGTGGTTATTCTTTATCAAAAATTGCATATGATGCTTGATTGTTTCTTCGCCGCTAAGTATCGACTTTAAATTGTTATTTTCTGGAGAAGGCTTTGTTTCTTCATTTTCTGGGGAATCCTCTTTTTTAAATAAAAGTTCTTTAAGTTGTTCCAAAAATTCTTGAGGTGCATTTTCGTAAAGATCAAAAGCAAGTTGATAGGCAACGAGAGTATTTTTCTTAAAATTGATGAAATCAGAAGAAAATAAAATTTAAGAAAACCTTAGATAAAAGATTATTGAAAATCTGTGCAACTTGGGCAGGACGTTCTAATTTGATCAAACACTGAAAATGAAAAAAATTTAGTGAGCTTAGAAAAGAGAAAAGCCTAGGAAAAGGGAGGAGGTCGGTGAAACTTGGCTAAATCCTCAGTCCATCAAAAAGTAACAAATCCTTCGTCCATTAAGAAGTTCAATAGGTAATTGAAAATAGAAAAAAGGTAAGAGGCCCCAGTGAGAAAGTAGGCCTCCATTGCTAAAGTGATAAATTCGACCGCCCAAATCCGAGTGACAAAAATCCTCCGTTCATCAGAGATACCAAAGGTTAATTAAAAAAGAGGAAAAGGATATTCCGAAAAAAATATAAAAAACAATACCCAAAAAGAAAAATAACACCCATAAGAAATCCATGCCCATAAGTAAGGACCAAACAAACGAAATTCCGGCAAAAAATCAAATCCGTAAGACGACCCACGCCCATGAGGAAGGAAGGACCAAACAAAAAAACCAACCAACCAAACAAAAAGATAAAAAAAACCTGGCATATCGAAAGCACTTTCAAAGCCAAATTTTGCGATCCCTTCTTTTCAATTTGCAAATCGGCGTCCAACATATGGAAAATCAAGTCAAGCACCAGAGTTCTAAACTCAATATCCAATTGTGATTCCCAAACTTTATTGAGCGTTTCAATCATTACAGAAGTTTTGTCTGGCGCCTCGTTTGATTTAATTGCAGTCTCCACCATATCAATTCGTCGAGTATCAAAAGCCAAACCTATTACAGAATTAAAATCGCGACGCTCCAAGTTTTGTTGAAAAATGCGATCAATTAGAGCAGCTAATTTTGGTTCAACCTCCATTTTTTGATTTCTCTTCTTTTTGTAAGTATCGAGAGCTTGTTCAATAATTTTGTTGACATACTAGAAAATTTTTTTAAAATTAATTAAAAGCGAGTCAAGCCAGAAGACCTACATTCTAAAGACTTTTGACCCAGAAGACCTAAACTTTTGAAAGGAAATATCAAAAGGGAATATCGAGGGATTTGGTGTGACTGAAGGGTAGATTCTACAAAACCAGAGACCCTTCAAAATTCATAGGTTTTCAGGTTCAATAGGTCTTAAAAGTGCGGATCCTCTGGGATGGACACATAAAATTAAAAATAAAATAAAATCAAAGAATACCAAGCTATCATGCTCCTTAAAATCGTCTTGTCGAGGAGTTGAACTAAAATTGTTGTCAGAATCAAGAGCAAAGGCAAGCGCTTTTTCGTAATTTTCTAAACAATAAGCAACTTTAGAACAAAGTAAAGCAGCCTTTCCTCTCCCAGCAAAGTTTTGGTCGTTGGCTAAAGTTTCCAAAACGCTCAGATATTGTGCCATTTCGAACCATGTAGCCGTAATAACTTTCCAATCATCCAAATTGTCAATAATTATTTGCTTTTCTGAGGTTTGTCTTTGAGGATCACCGAGCGATTCGAGGTATGGAGTAGCATTTTTTGGATTATTTCTCCAAATATGCATAACTTGCGCCATTTTTGAAGAATATTTTTTAAAGAATTGTCGAATAAAAACTTAAAGTTTTGTCTAAAAATTAAAGAAAAAATTAAGAAAATTAAAAAAAATTTCCAAACAATGATGAGAAATAGAAATAAGAAATATTTATTTTAAAAAATAGCCAACTATTAAATTTTTGGCGAAATGTTTTTTATCAATAAAATTTTTGGTAATAGTTTGGAATTCGCCCCCCTTTTTTCCTTTCTATTTTTTCCTAGTTTTTTCTCATTTCATGGTAAATTATATATCATTCGAAAGAGCTCTTCGAGCTGAGTCGAATGACATTAAAATCAATGAAATCTGACTTAAGTGAACAAAGTTGTGCCCGTTTATTTTATCCACTTGCATTGGCACAAAAAGTTTACCCAAATAGGATTTAGCTTCATAATTTTCGTAAGAATGATCAGATTTATCCAATCATGGTATCATTCGACTAAGCTCGATGAGCTCTTTCGAATGATATATGACAAATTATGTATCAAACAAAAAAGCTCAAAATGGTCAGGGAAACGTTGAAAAAAGGGGGGCGAATTCCAAACTATTACCAAATTTTTATATAAAAGCTTTTCTTTTTGCATATTTTTTAGATTCGTAGCTTTATTATTTAACATCTTTATTTAGTTTTTTGATATCTTTGTTAGATTGTGAAGATTTTATTTATAAATAATACTCATTTTTAGTTGATTATACTAAATCATGTCTCTTCAAAGTAATGATAATGTAGATCATGGTGATGGTTTGTCCGAAGCTGAAAATGAAGGTCAATTGACCACTTTAATTGAAAAAGTTGCTTCAATTTTTTCGTCATTAGCTAGAAACGGCATTGTGCGATTTGTATTTCGTTTATTGAAATGGATATTGGGATGGATTATTTATTTTCCGGAGGATCAAACTGACAAATTTAAAAATATATCCGTTCAAACTGATGATATAATACAAAAGTTGGATAGTACTCAAGAAGTTGACAATGACGACAAGAAGAAGGCCTCGTCATCAACAAAAATTGGAATCGTAGGATTTTATTCAGTTTATTAAGATGGATGTTAGGAGTTCCATAATCCATTGGATAAAAAGTCATTTTCCTTGGATAGTTCTAGGTTATCGTTGACAGATGTTTTATTTTTCTAAACAAAACACCATTATATCGATTAATTTTAGCATAAAATTCCTACAAAAAGTATGTCTGTTCAAACTGATGATATAATACAAAAGTGCGATTGTAATAAAGAAGTTGGCAAAGGGGATCAGAAGGCCTCAATTAATTCGTCGTTAACTAAAAAATCGAATGTAAAATTTTTATCAGATTTACTAAGATTGATCATAGGAGTTAACTATATTCCGAGGGAGCGCGTTATTGAATTCTCGGTAAATGTAAAGATTACTGGTCCCTAGAAAAAAATGAGGAAAAAGTGCTAGTTAGACATTTTTGAGGCATGCCAGTAGATAATCGAGTGCGCTGAGTCCGAATCTGAGCTTAGAATTTGCTTATTTCGAACCCCGGACCCGAATTCGACCAAGTCGAATTCGGGGTAAAAATTCGAAATTAAAAATTTAGGGCTTATCTGACACGCCTATTCGAGCTGAGTCGATTGGTGTCAAAATTATCAAGTTTCGACCATTTTAAACGGAGTTATGATTCCGGTTTTCTACATAGAGGTCTATACTAATGTTATTTAATTGATCAGAACTTTGTTTAAAATGGTCGAAACTTAATAATTTTGATACCACTCGACTTAGAATATAGAGACGAGTCAGAATAACCATAATATCGTAATTTCGAATTCTACCCGAATCCGACTTGTTCGAATTCGGGTTCGGGGTTCGAAATAAACGAATTCTAAGCTCAGATTCTGACTCAGCAACTCGATTACCTCCTGGCAAACCTCAAAAATATCAAAAAAGCACTGCTTCCACATTTTTTTCGGGACCAGTAATCTTTACATTTACCGAATTCTCTAACATTAAATACGTTCATTGGGAATTTTGGAGTATTGGTGAACGACTCTGTTTCTTCTTCTTTCTATGGGTGTTTAAGTCCTACAATGACTCAATTTTTCCTTGATAAGTGTTTTGATAAATTAACAGAACACCACTTATATTTATAAAAAATTTTTCTCGATTTCAGCAGAAGCTTCCTACAAAAATTTTAACTAATTTGGCAAATGAAGTAAAACTTGATATTTTTAAATATCTCAACTTCAATCAATTATTGTCCTTTCAAAGAACTAATTGCTATTTTAATAGCTTTATTAATGAATATAAAAGTGAATTGGCACGTGATTATTTTGATATTAAAATTGCAAGTTTAAAAAGGATTTTTTGAGTCAAAATTGTGTTTTTATAGGCAAACAAATTTGCTATTAACATTAAGCAATCTGGTATTAATTATCAGGAAATTGATATTAATGGACATTCTTATGACTTTTCATTAAGCGATCATTTAAAGGAAAAGGTGAAAATGAATTTTTATTTAAACTTTAATAAGTTCAATTTATCTCTCACACAAAATATTGCGGTGTTCTTGGTAGAGGCTTTCAATCTCAGAGATTGGGAGATGGATTGACCTAAATTAATTTTAGTTGCAACTTGCAGTGAGTGAACGCGTTCCTCTTTTTTTGAGTTTTAATCAATTTTGTGAGGCTGTTATTCTTTTGTATAAACATCGCTTAACTAGAGAAGAAGGTAAATTATATTTTATATATGATTTAAAAGTCTGACTCAGCTAGCTGTAAACCTGGGCTTAAAACTATCTAATGAGATTCATACATATGCATATGTGGATATCGCCTAGGGTGTTTGGGTATCGCCCGATCCAATGACCATTCAATTTAAAAAATGTGTACATTTAGCTGAAGTGTACATTTATACAGCTTGGTGAGATAATTTATTTTTTAAAGACTCAAAAAATGTAAACCGCAATATGTTTTTGGAGCTGCCTTTAATTCCAAAAAATATTAAAGAAATGTGTATTGTTCGCTATTGGTTGGATAAACTTCTTCGTTGTGGTTATGAAAATGCTAAATTTGATAATGTTATTTTCAATCCAGTCTTGATTAAATTACTCTTTGAAAATGAAGTAATGGAACTTTATACAAAACAAACGACTTTAACATATTTATTTGCTAATTTTGAACTTGAAGCAATGAAATTTATTAAAGATCATTTGAAGATTTTTAGTAAATTTTGTGTTGGTTTTTCTTTGTGTACTGATACGGAGCAATGCAATGGAATTATTTTGGATATTTTAAATGAAGAAGCTATATTTCCTTATTTATTTATTTATTTATTTATTTACGCCTTGATGGCGCGAGTCAAGTCAAAAAACAATAAAAAACGAAATCAAGTAAAAAAAATATATATAAAAACAAAATCATGTCAATAAATTAAAAAACAAAAAGAATGTAAATAAATAGTATATAAAAAAAATTATAAGTATAAATTTAAATTTAACTTAATTCAGCCTCCGAATTGCGGGAAAAATTAATATGTGTTATGTTTTTTGCGAAATTTTTGTAATCTAATTTTCTAAAGTATGCTGGTAGTTTATTATAATACCTTATAGTCCTTACAAAAAATGAATTATGTCTAGTAATTGAGGTGCATGCTTTATGTGATATTTTGTTTTCGTCCCCCCTTGTTTTAGATGGAATGATGAAATAGGGGTTATTTATATTTATTGGGCTTAATCCTATGCAATGCTTGTGAAAGATTTTAAGATCTGTTATAATTCTTCTATTCTCTAAAGAATCTATATGATATAATCTGAGGAGTTCAGAGTAGTTAGGGATTTGTTCATTAAGTTTTATATTATGCTTGCGGTTATATACCATCCTTACGAAATCTTTTTGAATCTTTTCTATTTTGTTAATGTATTTTTTATAGTAAGGATTCCAGACAGGAGAACTAAATTCCAATATACTTCTTACATATGTGGTGAACATATTAATTAAGAATCTTTCATCATTAGATTTTAAGGACCTAAGAATTGTATAACTAATTCTCCTAGCTTTATTACAAATAATGTCGATATGATTATGGAATTTTAACTCATGGTCAAAGAAAATACCCAAATCCCTTACAGTTTGATTTCTACCAATTTCTGTTATGTGTGTATCTTCTATTGTATAAATGGTGCGAGGATTTTTAGTGCCTAGATGTAATATATTACATTTCTTTATAGCTATATCCAATCCGTTTATTTCTGTGTATTCGGAAAATTTTTCAATAAATTCTTGCAAAGGGTTTGAATTGACTGGATTGTCTTTGAAAATGTAATACGCCTTAATATCATCTACATATAGTTTAACAGTTACATTTTCTGTATAACAGAATTCAGTTAAATCGTGTATATAATATAAAAACAATATGGGACCAAGTAGGGAGCCTTGCGGTACTCCGCTTTTTATGAGCCTTTTTTCAGAAAAGGATTCATGGATTTTTACAGAGAAAGTTCTATTGCTTAAATAATCTTTGAGCCATTTAGTTAGAGTATCTGGAATATTTAATGATTTTAATTTACTTAATAATCTTTCGTGGGATATGGTGTCAAATCCATCGATACTTGAATTAATCAAAAATGTAAGAAATAAGGGCAAATTTTTTTATGTGTACCGGAAACCGATTCGCACAATCGATATGTATTCGAAAAGCCTCACCGAGCCAAGTTGAATGGCCCCCCTATGGTTTTTCGGTTTCTGCGAGCTCAGCTTTTTCATTTTCCTTTTCCTAACATAACTTTAAGTTTATCATTGAATTTGTTTCAAGCAAATCCGGCAGGACTGCAGTAAACCAACGTTTTTTAGATTTGAACAATTTATATGTCATTCGAAAGAGCTAGGCGAGCTGAGTTGAATGACACCAAAATCAGCTCGATTGGATGATTATGAACAAAGTTATGACCAACAGAATCTTCGCTGGAAAAACTTTTTGTGCTGCTACGGAAAGCCGGCCGGGCATGGTCTTCGCTACACGATGGCCGTGCTTCGCTGCGGTCGTTCTCGCGGCGACCGTAGCTAAGCGGCGGCCGTCGTTCCGCTCGACATGCCCGGCTTCCTCCGCAGCGGCAAAAACTTTTTTCCGCGTAGACCTTATGTAGTGGGTAAAAACAAACGGTCATAACTTTGTCAAATCAAGTCGAATTTTGTTGATTTTGGTGTCATTCGACTCAACTCGACGAGCTCTTTCGAATGAGGTATAATTTGCATTTTCGAATTTTTCACCCCAAAAAAGTGCTTGGTCCCCCCTTTGGTTTTTCGAACTTTAGGGTCCCGTATCTCGGGCCACAGTTGAGTCCGCGGACTAATTTTGGTGGCATTCGACTCAGCTCGGCGAGCTCTTTCGAATGACATATAAATTGTCCAAATCTAAAAAACGTTGGTTTACTGCAGTTTAGCCGCAACTCCAATTTGGACGGCTAATTGGGTCTGAAATCCAAATTTAATTTGTCCTAAAAATGAATTTACACGGTTACATTAATAATCAATACAATTTTCCCAAAAATTATTAATCATAAAATTTCAGAAAATTACAACTTCAACAAATTGTTTATCACTTGTGCCAAAAATTGAATTAAAAGTTCGTGATTGGGGATCAGCTTGGAATTTTAATTATTTGCATAATCGAGAAGGGGTTAAAACTAAACAATTTATTAAAAATGGAGAAATAATGTATTCTTCCAGCTATGAAGTTGCTAATATTGGCAACCCAAATATTGTTTTCTTGATAAATTATATTGGGTATAATAATATTAGGCGTCTTATAGATTTTAAAATCGAGCGAAAATAAAAAGAATTTTTTAAATAAAATCCGATGACTGATTTAAAAATTCATTCGAAGATACTTTTTTCTTTAATTTTTTTGTAATTTTTTAAAATTTAATTCTTTCTTTTGTATACTTTTTTAAACTTTTTATAGTTTATTTTGCATAAAGTTGTTAACACAACAAAAATTTTCACATTATTAGATAAGAAACAAATACTTAAAATTTGTGACAGATCATATCAAATTTTCCCTAGTCTAGTTTTGTGCTTGGACACCATAATTGACTAAACTCAAGTGAATGAAATTTTTCGCTGTTATCCGATTAGGAACTCAGAAAAATATCAGTAGACATTAGAGTTGGTCACGGTACCGTATTACCGCGGTATTTTTACCGAAAATACCGATACCGCAAAATCGCGTTTGACCAACACTAGTAGACATCATAAAGCAGCCTTTCCTCTTCCAGCAAAGTTCTGGTCGTTGGCTAAAGTTTCCAAAACACTTAGATATTATGCCATTTCGAACCATGTAGCCGTAATAACTTTCCAATCATCCAAATTTTCGATAATTATTTGCTTTTCTGAGGTCTGTCTTTGAGGATCACCGAGCGATTCGAGGTAACCAAATAAGTACCCATTTTTTGTTGGTAGAATATTATTTGTAAAAAATTAAATGTTCCTTCACGGGTTTTTAGAAGTTTAAAAATATTCATTAATCCGCAAACAAATTTTAAAACACAAATTTAAAAAATTTAATTCATAAATGATAATTTCCTCATAAATATTGCCTCCTTATATAATTCAAATTATTTATTGGCAATTATTAACCTTTGACTATTCTTAATCTCTATGAGAAGAATGTTGGAAGGAGGAGGAAATGGGAAAAAAGGTTGCGGACAGACATTGCGGACTTGCGGGGAGATACTCCCAAAGCAACAAATTTTTATATAAAGGCATTTCTTCTTGCATCTAATTTATTCATTCCTTCCAAATTATTTTTAAAATTTTTAATTTTAACATAAAAATTTGCATTTAATTTTTTTTATATCATTAGGAGATTGTTAAGGATTTTTTTTCTTGATAAAAATTTATTTATTTTTAGTTGATTATTCTAAAAATCATGTCTCTTCCAAGTAATAATGATGCAAATCAGGACTTAAATGGTGTTTTGTCCAAAGTTGAAAATGAAGGCCAATCGACTACTTTAACTGAAAAAGTTGAGAAGGCTTCATTTTTTTCGTTATTAACTAAAAACTGGATTCTAAAATTCTTATTCAATTTATTGAAATGGATATTAGGATGGATTATCTATTTTCCGGAGGATCGAACTACTAAATTTAGAGATATATCCGTTCAGACTGATGATATAATACAAGAGTGTGATTGTAATAAAGAAGTTGGTGAAAGCGACCAGGAGAAGGTATTTAAATATGCATTTAAATATTCCTCATTACTAGGGTTGGATTTTTCGAACGGGGCCGAAGTTCGAGTCATTTTTTCGGGCCGAACCGGTCGAGTCTTTTTTGGTCCAAAATTCCATGCCCGATTCGATCTATCGAACCAAAACGGGCCCCAACCCTACCCATTACCTAAATATTTGATTGTAAAATTTTATCAGATTAATTAGAATGTATATTAAGAGTTATGGATGTTCCGCAAGAGTGACTTTCAAGTTTCCTAAAATTAAGTTCAAAAGGAAATAGTTAAGTGAAAGTTTTTGTTGTTTCCAATAGGTGTTTGTGTCCTATTGCGCTGGTTAATGTCTTCTAATTTTAGGCTTAGTTTTTAAATAAATTAACAGAACACCTCTCGTATTAATAAAAAAAATTTTCTTCAATTTCAGCAGAAAATTCCTACAGAAATTCTAAACAATTTAGCAAATGAAGTTAAACTTGATATTTTTAAATGTCTCAATTTCAATCAATTATTAACTTTCCAAAAAACCAATAGCTATTTTAATACCTTTATTAATGAATATAAAAATGAATTGGCACGTGATTATTTTGATATTAAAATTGTATGTTTAAAAAAAATTTTAAGTCAAAATTGTGTTTTTGTAGGCAGACAAATCTGCTAGTGACCGTTCTTTTGTTAATTATGAGGAGATTGATATTAAACGACATTCTTATGACTTTTCATTAAACGATCATCTCAAGGAAAAGGTGGAAATTAATTTAAATTTTTAATAGCAATCTCAATCCATCTCTCTCACACAAAAAATTTCCAAGCATGTACTACGAGCACCCCCTCATTTATTAAAACACCCTTCCTCTTTTGCGAGGGTGAAAACCACTTCCGGTAATTCCAAACTTTGTCCCCTCCTTTTTTTCTTCCTTAAGAATGTCCAATATGTTCTCTTTAATTCTCATCTCCATTCAGTTTGAGAGGTGGATTGAGAACCAAAAATTAATTTAAGTGGGAACATGCAATGAGTGAACGCATTCCTCTATTTTTGAGTTTTAATGGATCTTGTGAAGCTGATATACTTTTGCATAAATATGATCTAACTAATGAAGAATGTAAATTTTATTTTATATACCTGTACTTTTCCGTTCTGCCACACCCCCTAAATTAATGGTCAAAATGTCATTATAGGGTAGAAAAGGTGCTGAGTCGAATAGTACCACTTTTTTTTTCTTGAAGATGCCTTTGGACCGAGATATAGGGCTCGAAACGTTCAAAAACCGTAGGGTCATTTTGGGGTAAAAATTCGAACATGCAGCTTATAGTAGACCTTTTTAGCATCCAGATTCATGAGAAATGACAACAATTTTTGGAGAAATATAGTGGAAAAATTGCCGAAAATTTCCGATTTTTCAGAAAAAAATCGGGAACGGGAATTCTCGACAAAAATTTAATTTCCGATTTTCGGGAATCGAGACGGCTAAATCCCTGATGCACGTACACCTTGGTTAGATCGGACTATAATTATGTATTTTTAAAGGCTTAAAAAAGTTAAACCGCAATATGTCTTTGGACCTGCCATTATTTCCAAAAAATATAGAAGAAATGTGTATTGTCCATTATTGGCTAGACAAACTTTTTCGTTGTGGTTATGAAGAGGCCGAATTTGACAATATTATATTCAACCCAGTCTTAATTAAATTACTCTTTGAAAATGAAGTAAAGGAACTTAATGCAAAAGAAACTACTTTAACATATTTATTTGCTAATTTTGAACTTGAAGCAATGAAATTTATTAAAGATCATTTGAGGGTTTTTAGTAAATTTTGTGTTGGTTTTTCTTTGTGTGATAATACGGAACAGTGTAATGGAATTATTATGGATATTTTAAACGAAGGAGCTAGATTTCCTTATGTTTGTATAACTACAAGCTTGCATCCTTCAATACTTGAATTAATCGAAAACGTAAGAAAAATACCATAAATAAACTAGTTAAAGCTCTGAGTTTCATTTTTAAATTTTCTTTGAGTGTGCTTTTATTAGAGATGGGGATAAGAATTAAGTGAATCTCGATACATAACACATACCATTCTATTTGTCTCGAGCTGAGCCGAGCCGAGCGGTACCATATACCGAAATGATATATAGGTCCAAGTTGTAGGTCACCGATACTCGGAAAACAAAAGAGGGAATGAGCACATTTTTGTGGCGAAAAATTTGAATACGTTCACCTTACCAAAATTAATATTAAACGGTTCCTCTCATATGGCTTTGCGCCGTCATATGTCTTGCCTCCTACTTATAATATTCATATTTGGATTTTTCACACCAGAAATTATAGATTGACGTTTATTTTTAATTTTGTATCGTTAACTATAAAATTTTAGAAAATCCTAACTTCAACAAATTGTTCATCTATTGTGTCCAAAATTGAATTTAAAGTTCGTGACTGGGGTTCAGTCTGGAATTTTAATTATTTGTATAATCGAGAAGGTGTCAAAACAAAACAATTTATCAAATATGGGGAAGTAATGTATTCTTCTATCTATGAAGTTGCCAATATTGACAATCCGAATATTGTTTTCTCAATAAACTATGTTGGACGTAACTGTACTTATAGTGGTATAGATTTCAAAATCGAACGAAAATAGAAAGGATTTCATTTTAATTTGATAATTTATTTAGAAATTGACGTTAAAAAATATATCTTTTTTAATTAAATATCTAAATATATTATGCATAAACTTTTTTGGTGTAATTAAATTGACCACAAAAGCTAATTATTAGTGAGCGGAACCGGACCGGATCCGGCCGGATTTTTCCGGAGTTCGGATCCCAAATCCGGGGTTTTTCGCGATCTCCGGAATCGGAAAAATCCGGCCGTATCCGGTCCGGCTCCATTGCAAATCCGGATCCGGAAGAATAGATTTTTCCGCTCACTATTAATTATTAGAGTTTCACTGGATGTTCCGGCTCCGGGACGGAAACTAATAAAAGTTCCGGGATCCGGAACTTAAATTGGAACCGGTTCCGGTACTACATGTTAAATGGAATATTTAAGATTTATGCTTTTTAGTAGTAGTTGACAATACCTTGCTGTCTCTGGATTTATAAGTAAACTGAACCCGATTGCTTCCTTACTTAGTACAGTCCTCTAGAGGGACTGCATTAAAAGAGTCACCAATTACTGCTAGGCATCGAACCTTATATTCTCGTTAATTTATTGGCTGTAGTATAGTATACCGGTGGAAAGGTTTCAATATAAGACCCATACCATTCGATTCGTCTCGGCGAGCTGAGTCGAACGGTACCACTCTTTTTTTCCGGAGATGCCTGTGGGCCAAGATATAGGTCCCCGAAAATCGAAAAACCATAGGGGGGACCAAGCACTATCTTGGGGTGAAAAATTCGATTTTTCGTGTGAAACCTCATTCGAAAGAGCTCATCGAGCTGAGTCGAATGACACCAAAATCAACGAAATTTGGTTTGATTAGACCGAGATACAGACCTCTGAAAATTGAAGAACTACAAGGGCGAATTTTAGATAAAAAATTCGAATATACAAATGATAGTTCATTCGAAAGAGCTCCTCGAGCTGAGTCGAATGACACCAAAATCAGCAAAATCAGACTTGATTTGAGAAAGTTATGACTGTTTGTTTTAGCTCCTTACCTATTCCATCCGTTGAGTGGTTGCTGCTGCGGAGGAAACCGGGCAAGCCCACTTAATCGATAATATGAATAGGATTAAGTAACGAGCCCAGACCCAGCGCCCTAGACTCCCCGCGAGGCGCGTGCCGCAAAACCCCGCGCGAAGCGCGGGGTTTTGCACAAGCGCCTCGCCGACGCTCCATAGGTTTATGTTGACCATTTTGAACCTCTTTATCTAGGCTCAAAATCAAGATCTCGAGCTCATTTTGGTGTCATTCGACTCAGCTCGATGAGCTCTTTCGAATGAGGTATCACACGAAAAATCGAATTTTTCACCCCAAGATAGTGCTTGGTCCCCCCTATGGTTTTTCGATTTTCGGGGACCTATATCTTGGCCCACAGGCATCTCCGGAAAAAAAGAGTGGTACCGTTCGACTCAGCTCGCCGAGACGAATCGAATGGTATGGGTCTTATATTGAAACCTTTCCACCGGTATACTATACTATATCCAATTTATTTTTTTTCATAATGTTGTTGAGATAACAAAGTTCACGTTGTTTGAAGTAGGGTTATTCCCCAATGAGTGGAGGGGGGCTGGGAATTTTTAAAAAATTGATGATTTACTGGTCTATTCATCTTTTCCAGCAGTTCCCCAGCAGCAGTTTTCCAGCATAATTACTAAAATAGAAAGAAAAAACTTAAGAAAAATGTCTATTTTCGAAAGTCGTAAATAGACTGTCAAATCGAAATTTCGAAACAAATCTCTGATGCGAAAGCTATGTCTAACAAAAGACAACCTAATTATGGCCCCCAATAAAATTAAGTCAGCACAACACATGAGGAGGTCCACACCCCCCCCCCCCTACACTCCCTATTCCTCTATGCCATTCCATTTTACTTTTAGAATTAAAATTTTTAATTTTTATTTTGTATGTTTAAAAATTTATAATTAGTTATATGTATTTATGTCCCCGCCGTTGGGACCCATTCTTCCACTTTGGGTCACCAATTTTTAACCGAACATCTCGTCCTTTCTGTAGTCGTTTTATACTTCGGCTGCTTCTTTATCCTCCTATTACTGTTAATTAGAGATCGGACCGTACCGTACTACGGCCGTATTTTTCGGTATTTATCGGTATTCCGTATCGGTAGTACGTTATGGAATACGGTACGGTACAAAATTCCGATCTCTACTGTTAATAGTAAAAGTAGCCATCTTTCTATTCCAGTTGTTTAAAAGTAACAGTGCCCAACATCAGCCCCCCATTGCACTACAAGAAAATATGTTTTATCATTTTGGAAAAAGTTCGGAAAAATTACTAAAATCGAAAGGAAAAAATATAAGAAAAAGGGCTATTTTAGAAAATCGTAAATAGACTGTCAAAACGAAATTTCGAAACAAATCTCTGAAGCAAAAGTTATGTCAACCCAAAAAGACAGCTTAATAAAGGCTCGCGGCCAATAACATTAATTCAGCCGATTACAGCAACAACATTTGAATGTTTTTTCTGTCGAGATTTAATTTTTCTTCTTCAATCTTGTCCAATCTTCCCCAATTTTTCATTCGATTAATAAAGGCTGGCGGCAATAACATTAAGTCAGCCGATAAGTGCAATCACATGGGAATGTTTTCTCTTTCGGTCTTATTCAATTTTTCATCTTCAATTTTCTTCGATCTTCTTCGATCTTTCATTCGATTAATTAAGGCAGGAGCCAATAACATTAAGTCAGCCGATAGTGCCACATTAGAATTAGTGACAGCCAATAAGTCCAACCACATGAAAATGATTTTACGTTCGACCTTCTTCGGTCTTCTTCAATTTTTCATCTTCAATCTTGTTCAATCTTATTCGATCTTTCATTCAATTAATTAAAGGGAGGCGCTAAAGTCAGCCTATTAAAGCAATGAGGGGGTCCACCACCCATCTCTCCCTTTCCCCTATGCCATTCCATTTTATTTACTTTCAAAATTAAAATTTTAATTTTTATTTTGTATTTATGATTTAAAAATTTATAATTATATATGTTGTAAATAAAACATTTAAGATTCAAATCACAGTTTTGATAAACTACGCTGTTTAAATGAAAGTTTTGATGCTAATCTATTGCTTGTTTTTGGATCTGCTTCTGTTGTCGGGTAATAAATAAAGTTGGAAATAATATGGAAATTCATTTATTCCTTAGCAAACATATCCATTATTTCTTCCATATTTCGCCATTTATTAACGGTTTTGGCTATAAAGTCCAAAAATATATACTCATCGTTAAATTATTATTAAGGCGTAAGCTAAGTTTTGAGCCACCATTTATTTAAGGTTGAAAATTTATATCTCAAGTTTATGATCTCCAATTTACTCAATTTTTATACACGTATATGAGTAACTCTTGAAGTTTTGGAACGTCATTTATTAAAGGCCGAATTTAGGGCAATCCAGGAAAATTGGGGTCCCTGCGAAAAAAAGGTTAGAAAAAGTTAAAATTACCTATTTTTTGCTAAAATGTTAATTATTATTTTGATTCTTTTTAAAAAATCAACGTAAAATTGAATAAATGACTGATAATACTCAATTTTCACAATAAATTCTTAAAAAGCTAAAATAAAATTAAAAGTTATTTAGTCATTTTTTCCGTATTTTATTCCAAATTTTACGTTTTTCTATTTATATTTTTAAATTTTTGTCAATATTCTGCGCTTTTCATGCATATAAATTCGAAACTTACTAATAAATTATATTTAATCAATTATAATTATTTTTCAAGGAGTATATGCAGGATGTTTCCAAAGCAAACACGGAGGTAATGTATTTTTTATATTAATAGATTTAAAAAAAATTTTTTTTAAACTAAAACCTAAATATTTTAGATGAAGCTGGAGCTCAACATGGAGCTCATCGTGGACGTCATCGTGGACGTTTGTCGCCACAAGCGCAACAAAATCCTAGTACCATGATCTTTGCTTTACCTCCACCGCCGGAGGGATCACCACAACCTATCCAGCAAACTCCTCCTCATGTCGAAGAAGAAGGTAATCATGATCAAAATAAAGAGAAGTAACATTACATAGCAGATTAGAATAGACATTTTAAGCAAATACTCATTTATTTTTTGCAAGGCCGATATAAAATTTGTTATTTTAAATATTTTAGCTGAAGCTCATCCTGTACCTTGGCACATAGAGGCGCAACAACATCCTAGTCGTCGGCATCGTTTACCCACTCCGCCACCGGGAACATCACAACCTCCCCAGCAAAATCCTCCTCGTGTCGAAGGTCGTTCACCACGTCATGATGATCAAAATCAAGAGTTACAATGGCAACAAGGAGGAGGGTTAAC